AACGTCCCTGAGCCTCCACGCAAGCACTCGGCCCTTGTTCTTGATCTTTAAGGCTTAATTTTTATCTGTAACGTTCCTAGTGCTGTTACCTACTGGCATATACACGGGTGCAGATATCTTATCTTTATTTCACTGTGAATATGTTGAAATTATGTTTGTGTTGTGGATGATAAATGCTGCTTGAATACGTTTGGCTTTATATTAACAGATCTTTTTATGGTAATAGTTTTAAAGGACACACTGGAAAAAAGAGGTGCTCTTGGACAAATAAAAGCAAGGATCAGAGCTGAAGTTTTTAATGCGCTGGATGACCAAAGTGAACCACGGCCACCACTGTCTCATGAAAATCTCTTAATCAACGAACTAATTCGTGAATACCTGGAATATAACAAATATAAGTACACAGCATCTGTTTTAACTTCAGGTATTGGGACAGAGTTGTTCTTGTCATCACTGTATTAATAGACACCATTTGGTTGAGTACTTCCACTGATACTGTGAAATTAGTAAGTGGTACTGAGCTGCACAATCTTGTCTTCCCTTGGAAATAAATTAAACACAAATACCATCTCCACAGCTTTATTTGCAACATTAAGCCAAGTCATATCATTAGTTTTCAAGAAAACTTACTCTGTTCCTTATGCTTGAGGTAAGTGCTTTGACAGAGGAGTTGATGCAAGAGCAAGAAAACTTGCTAGTAGCCTGCAAAATCAAAATACCTTTCCTGAAATGTCTGCTTTTGTTTTGGAAAGTGGTTAACAATATTTTTAAAGCATATATCACATTTTTATCTCATTGGCATTTGGGTGAAAAAATAGAAGTGAAAGTGAAATAGAAGTGAAAAAATAGAAATCCTGCAAATGGAACAAAATTTTTTTGTGGAATAATTTAAATGAAAGTAATATGTACATGAAGTAGTTGATAGTCTGAATTACAGAAATCTGGCAGTTCGTGCACATAAGCTGTATCAGAAATGTGGCTAGATGTCCTCAGCCTAAATAACAAAAAATAATATAAAGAAGGTCCTTTTCTTTTAGCAGCTGCAGTTAAGCATTACTTACTGGCTGTGCTAAAATACCAATATTTGATAGCTTTTTAGACTACAACATCTAAATGGTAGATGTAATTTATACTGTACTGCATTCACTTATTTTTGCAGCTATTGCTAACTTGTATTTGAGATTTGAAGTTCTGTAGTTGTGCTTAGACACAGTAATTACATTTGCTATTTAATAATTTGATATATTTCACTATTAGAGTCACAAAGGTTCATCTCAAGAAAAGGGAATGGAGACAGTCTGTATAGTAGTTAATGTATGGAATGTGTTTGATAACGGTACCTCTTTAGAGAAAGAATGTTTTGCCTGATAAATTTATCTTTATATTGTAAGACTTCTCTAATATTTTTCTTAGATTCCTTTAGAGTGAAGATAAAAACTGTAATATGCCATTGTAAATTATGAGTATGAAGTACTAATGTTTTAAGTGAGTTCCCTGGAATTACAATATACTGTTAGATATTAATAGTCTAAAAGGGAGGTGCATGCTCTCATTCTCTTTTGAAGTCTCCTGAGCAGTCTTTAAAAGTTAATGGGTGATGTTTTTCTTACCAGTCTTAAGAATTTTGGGGAAATCTCTTTTTCCAGAGTCTGGCCAGCCTGAAGTGCCCTTGGATAGACAGTTTCTTGCCAAAGAGCTGCACATAGTTGAAGATGCAAATGGAAAATCAGTGTAAGGAGTGATTTTGGAATGCACAGTATATTCTGCTCTGCATATGTGTTTCTCTTTAGTGTTACTCTAGGTCACATATAAATGTTCTCACCAATTGAAATCTGACTAGATCACATGCCTGCTCTGACATGCTGGATTCAAATTCACAATGTCAAACATGGGGCCATTTTCAAATCTTTAATTCTATCTACTCTGTAGCATTCTCCAGTATAGATAGTATACTTGCACACCAAAACAGAAGTCTTTCACCAGTACATAACCATCTTCCTTACAGTCAGAAGTAGAGAACAGATATACTCTTTGCATGTCAGTGAGTTGCTTTGTAGAGCAATAAAAAGATTATTGTACCCTGAGATTAGATATAAATTCACAGTGCTCTGATAAAATGCATTAATGAGCTAAGGTACTGAAGCCGGTTTAAACATGTTCAGCATTCTCTGTAGCTTGTGCTTAGGAAGAATCAAGTTTGGGATGTGCGGTGGTGGACTGGGCTATAGCCTGCCAAAGTCTGATGCTTTGTACTGCACGAGTGAGAACGTGGATCTGTGTTCTTGTGCTACGCATGCTACAGTTCTTCACCTACAGGGCATCTGGAGTTTAGTTGTGAGTGTCTTACTGTGAGCTTTTTAGGGCAGTGTTGGTGTTGAGGGTGGATTTAGGTCTGTGCTTATTTATGTAATGACACTTGGCATATTGTATTTTAAATAATTACTCTAAAGACATCTGTATATGTTCTAGAAGTAAACATTAAGGTCTAAGAAGTTCTGAGGAAAGGGTGATTTTTTAATGCTCAGTATTTCATAGACTTCATAGACTGCTTTTGTTATTTCTTTTAAGCAGACCTCTCTTATATGGAATTATCTCTCATTTCTTATATGGTGGTAGAGAAGAAAGTACCCAGAATACACTTCCAAAAGTGTCTTCGCTAAATTATCCAAAGCAAAACCTTGGCAAGCCGCCTACTGAGAGAAATCAAAAAGGTGGGTGTAGGTATGGGGTAATTTTTGCAGAACTTTTATTTGTGACTAGATTTTCTATATGATACGTATCTTATAACAGCATAAACATGCAGATGGACACAGCGTACCTCCTCTAGGCAAGAAACGCTTTGAACCTACACCTCTTCTGTAAGAAGAATTCTTCAGCAAAATGGTCTTTATACCTCAAAAATACCATTAAGCTCTGTGACCAAACCATACTTGTTGCTCATGTAATTCATTTAAGAAGGGTCCTACTATATCCAGCTCAAGATAAGACCCAGCCATGATTTCTAAAACAACCAGTCTATGTGCCTTTGTTTAAATAAGTGACTAACGTACACCAACTCTTGGGCCTGCTTCTCTCTGCCGGTATGTTAATGGGGCAGCATATATGGCATACAAATGTGATTGTCCTCAGAAGTGCTTGGCTGGCCTTCAAATGTTTCAGTACTAGAACCTTCTCTCTCATATGGGAATGTATTTTATTTATAAAGCAGACATTTTTAAAAATTGCAGACAGCCAAATTTATATAATTTCTCAACAGTGCAAGGTACTGTGAAGCTCCTGCTACCTTGTGGTAGCTGTAGCTACTTGCTAGTTACTAGAGGAAAGGGGGAAAATAACTAATTGTTTAGCTTTATTCTCTTAAGGCTTTTGGACTGTTAAAAACTGAAAACATTTAAATTGGACAGCTGTGCTGTTCTGATTATTTTTACTGCTCTGCAGTTACTGGTAAAGACCAGCAAATACTAATATCCTAATTCTCAGTATCAGAAAGGTCATCCACCAATTGCTTAACGATTTTCCTAAAAAGTTAAACTGGTCAAATTGTACTCCCTTATACTATTACAAATCTGGAATGGGTCAGCTAGAGACAGTCTTTATTATATTGGCAATGTAATACAAGAATTTAACAAATTCTCAGTAAAGTATGTTAAATACTGGGTGTATCTGTTTCTCATCTGTTCTAACTTACCTAATTTCTGTAGAAAGTTCTTTAACTCTTTAGCTGTCAATTTTGTATATGGGCATAAAGCTTTTCTGAGGACATAATTCACATCCCATTGAATCCGAAGCTTAAGGTCTGAGTCTACTGCTCTATAGTGGAGCACTGCTAAATCTTATTTTCCTTTTCTGGCCTGCTTGTTGACTGGTTATAATTCACACTGCCTAAGCTGCAGAATGAAAGGGATCATTGGTCCAGTTTTTTCCTTCAAAAAGTCTGCTTGGCATATTACTTCACTTTCTACCATAAGAATGTAGTACTACTGTGTTAGTACTATCAACTACTTCTTTTGTATCCAAACATTTGAAAAATATGAGGCCCAAGATATTATTGACGTCTAAAAAGTGTGAGGGAAGTACTAAACACCTTTTCTTAACAGTTAATTCATTGAGACAATGTTGTTTCCCTTCTGCCAGAAGAGGGGGCTGAAGAAGGAAAATTTCAATACCAAAACTGCTGTAAATGATCTCTTTGCTAGAAAATAATTACTCCTATCAGAAATTTCTCCGTTTTTAAAAACAAATTCAGTGTATAGAATAATTGTTTTTAACGTATAACTTTGTACCTTAGTTCTGAAATTGCCTCTGTGCAGGGTCACCTTGCCCTGTTGACTCCAATATAATTTCACGTGGGCATTAATTGGTTAGAGTTTGTTACAAAACTCAGGATTAATCATAAGACGTGACAGCACGTTACTTTTTGAAATAAACAAAAATATAACAGTTTTAAGGCTTTTAACCTTTAAGTAATTGTAGTCTGAAATTACCTTCTGCGTGTGTTTGTGGAATATGTCAGTGGAGACCTAAAGGCAGTGGGTTTAAAATCCTAATTATCTAGCTATTTAAATTAGGCTGCATATTAAGGTAATCAAGTCCATTCATAAACTCAACTCTCCAAGTCTCATATTTTAACATCTAACTTGCTTTTCATATTAGAAATTATCTTACTTATTTAGTTGAATGACTCTTCCAATAAACTGGTATACAGACTGGGAATCCTGATAAACCGTGTGGAATCTGGTGTTTCTGTTAGTTTGTTCACTATAGCTGAACTGAAGTTGTCTGAAATCTAATCTTTAGTAATGCAAAGCTCTTACCTCATACAGTTGCATGAAAAATTATATTTGTAAAATTGCCTGAATTTCCTGTGATGATAGTCTGTATCAATGTTGATAATAGTGGAAAATAACGCTTACACCTTTGGATCTCCAGATGTGTTAGAATATTTATGTCTGTGCTTTGTTGGCAGATAGAATTCCTGAACCAGGAAGGATGGCTGGCACGAGTATCGAAGAGCCCCTTGTTTTACGAAGTATAAACAAATGATACCTTTCATATGCTAGTTTCTCATGTGAAGTTCTGTAAGAGTTAATTTAGGAAATTCTTCTTTGCATAATTTTCCCCAGTATGTCCAGTGGGACCATTTCAGCTTGTTAGATCTACCCATGAGACAGGTCATGCTTATTGTCAATGAAACAGATGTTAGCAAAGGCTCTCTTCCTCCAATGCTGATAGAAGGAAAACTCTATATGAAGTCAGATTAGTGAAGCCTGTGTCTAGAATTGGGCCTGAAAATACTGGTTTTACTTTGCGAAAATTTATCAGGTAACTTATAATTTCTGCACTTTCCTTATTATTTTATGTTTTTGTGTGACTTTCCGGTGTTTTTTGGAATAAAATTTTTCAGTTTTATTCTGTGGGGTATTTTGAAAGTGTTCAAACTAAGCATTTTAATCCTTCTTTAAGAAGAAGCTCCTGCTACTTTCAGCTACATATGGGAAAATAAATTGGAATAGAAAATTAAATTGCTTTAGAGGAATAGTTGTTTTTAATTCTCCGGAAATGAGGACTATATTTATCTTCATGCCAGCAAACAAATGATGGTAAGTCTTTTCCATCTGGAGTTGCTATAAATTGTACGGTGTAACACTGAGTATATGGGAGGGAGAGGAACTTCTGTTTTTTTCCCAAACGACATGAAACTCAAAGTCTGGCAAAACTAAAAATAAAGTTGATAGTAGATTACTGATTCCCAGAACTTCTTTTAGCTGATGTATTTACATGTTTTGAAGTGGTAATTTATTTTAAAAGCCAAATTTGTAGGGGTACATCAAAAAATAACAGGTTAGCTATTTCTTTCTACTCATTTAACAAAATGTATAGCTGTTAATGTTTCCAGTGGAACTGAGAGGAGTTTTGTATAAATAAATTTTTAGGGTTGCATTCTTAAAAATCGTAATTGTTAGATAAACGGTACAATAAGTGGGGGGAAAAAAGAGAGGAGGAGAACATGCAGCTTGTGAATTTAAGTGAAAGAACCATAAGTTGTACAGACTGCAAAGTTTTGTCTTAATCTTTATTTTACTCAGCATTACAGGTATTTTTTTATTTTGATAAGCAGCCTAGCCTCTAACGTGAAATTGCGGAGAACAGCTATGGGTTGAAAGGGGGAGTTGTATTTATTCCATTTGAAGCCTCAGCAGTGAGCTCATCCCCTTCGTGTGACTGGCAATGCTGCCAGCTCCCCAGTTGCTGGTTTATAGGTATCTCAGGACTGTTTCCAGGAGGAGAGGACATGTGTTTGCAAATATACCTCAGTCAAATCCATCTTTAAGTCATTCGTAGCTTTGCATCAATTATAATTGACCGTTGGGTCAAGAAAGCAGATTTAACCATTTGCTCTGTGCTACCACCACTGCCAGGTTCGACTACTTGGCTGAAGAGCCACCCATGTAAAACCTACCACCATGGGATTCTGCCTCATTACTGGGGTCTTTCCTGCCACAGTAATGCGAGTATTCACAATCACAGATCTCTCAAGTCCTCTGTCTAAAAATACAGTGGAAAACTGGTCTTCTAAGCTGTTACTTGGTAATTACCTTCATTTTGGAATGAGCTGAAAGTGCCTCTATGGAAAGTTGCAAAAAAATGGACTTTTGAACAATGCAGATATAATTGTTCTGGCCACAGAGATCGCTGAATCTTTAGCTTTGGTTTTCCAGAGGTTAAATGCTAAACCCCTCTTTCTCCATAAACCAGTGGGTCAAATTGTTACGTATATTTGGAATATGAATTGTCTTTTCAAGGGCAAGGAAAGAGGCTCTGGGAAACACCGAAGCTCTAACCTTCCATGCAACGCAAACCTTCTGGTATAACCAAAGCCACTGTGTCTGCTTTCTGTCTTCCCAGCGTGTATCATACAGAAGCTGCCCAGGTGTCATGGAGCTCCCTGGAAAATGGATTTTTAGTGGTAGAAATTAAATACAATTTTTGTTCTAGTTGAAGAAGGGAAAGGGATGATTGGTACTTGCCCTTTCCCAACCATACAGCTCAGCAGGCTCATGTTCACAGCCATGAAAGCAGAGGCTGTTACAAGGTGTCCTTCACTGACCTTGAGGTAAAGGTGTGTATCTGAAATCAGAGGAGAAATCCGTTTAAGACAGAGGGAATCTCAGGACTATTTTCTTCTTGTCAGGATCCTGCACCCGGTCAGTAGGTGCAAGCTGGCCCGTTTGCTCCTGGTGCAAGATGCATTTCATCTAATTCTCTAATGCACTCCCAGTACAGATTTGGGGTTTTGGAACAATCTCTTGTTTCAAAGTATAGTCATTTTACAAGCAAATTAGAATCAAATTGAAGTGTATTTCCAGTGATGTTTATTTGTACAACAGAGCTTTGAAACATGTCTATGAAAATACACTGGTCTAATCACGTTATTAATGGTCTAGCATTTATCCTGACAGTATATGAAATATGAGCATCTTTCAAGATGCAGACTTGTAGCCAGCCCTGTGAATGTCGGACTGCCTTACTTGTTAATGGATGAAGAGGAATTGCAAAGCCTGTATAATAGGGCTGCACTTTCAAAAAATCATTCCTTAAAAGTTTAAGCTAGGCGAGGTCAGTATTTAGATGAAAATGATTCACAATCCTAGTCTTAAGTTCAGGTTTTAGATGAAATTGCCACCTAGGTGAGCATGCACAAAAATTATTTTCTCAAATAATTTAAGAAGCTTGATCTAGCTTAATTACAGACTGTGGTGTCTTGCATTAACTGCCCTTATTCTTTCTACTAACATCAGAAAATAATAAAAAAAAGACAAGCATGCTAGAAATTTGGGGGTTTTAATGAGAAAAATGCACTTCTGAATTTTAGTGGAGATAGATAGAACACTGAGACTGTTACAGAGGGAATTATGTTATGAGAGGCTCTGTTCTTTGCCTAAGCGTGGTATCACAAATGAAGGTGACAAGGAGCCGGTGAAGTTTGGTATGGATATCAGATCTAAAGCACTCTGGAAGAACTTAACCCATGAGTTTAAAAAAAAAAAAAAAATCTGTAACACCAAATTTTTGCTCTCCCCTAGAATCAGAGGAAACTATGTTTATAGACTCCACAGCATCAGTGCTGTTTCAGAGGTATTAGTTTCTGTCATGCACAGGGGATTTTTTTTTTCCTCTGCACTTTATCAACACGCTCCAGGGAGTGGGTTACGCTTTCCTTCCTGAGCAGCCTTTGTATCAAGCTGAATCTTGGTGTCAGTTATCAGTTTTCCGGAGGGGCAATTATCAATGGGTGATTATGTTTCGGAAAAGAAACCCCAAAATACTTGTTCACACTTGCAAAGACACCCTTTCAGTAGCAGCTGGTGTCCGATTCAGAATTGACCTGCGTGCTTCACATACTTCACTTGACCTGCAGCCATCATTAAGCACAAAGCTTAGCATTACATAGTTGGTGACTACTTTACCTTGTCAGACTACTCTCATGATTAATTGTTGTAGTCTGGACACAGGCTGTCCCTCCTGTTGCAAAAGCACAGTTCAACACAGGTGGTAACTCACCGATCACACTTCTCAGTTCCAATTACATATGTCAGCTTAAAGAAACTTGGCTGGTAAACTCAGGTAAAAACATTTTTAAACAAAAATATCACTAACCTGACACACATTGTTTAACAGACTAACATCATCTGTGCTTTTCTTTTTTTGCCTCCATTGTATTCAGGTTACACCATGGTAAGGCAGCTGAAAGTTCATTTCTTTCCTTCTTGAGTCCTCGTCATCATTTAACCAGGACAATCCTCTCTTCTTTTTCCAACTCCAAAGTACAATATTTACAGTGCAAATTCAGCATGGAGATAATTTTAAGGGCAGGCTGCTCAATACTTTATTTTTTCTAGAAAAGTAATTAAAACAAATAAATCAGGGAAGCTACATAAAGCTTATTTGTTGTCACAAAGTCGTCGTCCACTGGGAATCCACAGCTTTCACTTCAAGGAAACTTTGGGTTAAAAAAAATAAATACCACAACATTTAGGAAAGTTCAACCAGGCTATTATATTGCATATTCTTATGTTAACTTTTAAGTGAGGGTTGGAAGCCACGCTTACACTTACCAGTTCCTGCCCCACATGGCTGCAACCATTTCAGATCCAGCAGTAGTATTTTTTTTTTAGACTTTCCAGCTCCGTTTAATGTTACATCATATATCACCCTCCACCGCTGCCTCTGTTAAATACACTACTCTGGCAGCAAGCCTGCATGTGTACATGCAGCGGTTTGCAAACCAGCTGGAATAATTTCCACTCCTTTTTAAGCTACTATTAAAATGTGCCTGGTTTTGTGAAACAGCGGCATGGGTTTAAAAGGAACTTCTTAGGATAACTTTGATGACTGTTAAAGTGATCACACTTTTCAAAGGATCCCCTTGCATTTCATTATTTTATATTCATTATATTTCTATTTAAAAGCTAAGTTTGTAACTGAGAAACTAAAAAAAATAATAATAGGGTGAACTACCCAGTGAGGAGCTTTCTGCTAACAAGGGCAAGTTTCTTGGATTTACGTCCTGGCAATCATTTCCCCTGGCTTTGCTCCAACAGTCACACGTGCACAAGTCTCATACAACACTGCTGCCTTTCGGATCCCGGGAGGGCTTTGCATGGCTGTGCAGCAGCCCCGCACCTCAGCAGACACTGACCCTCCGTCTGGAAGGACAGGCTGCAACCGCCGGGACCGTGCGACTGTTGGCAAATCTGGTCTTCTCCAGCTAAGGGCTGAACACGAGTCCTTATGTGGTATTTCTGAAATGTTGCAGGAAAGAAACTGTGATGCTCTTCCCCTCTCTCCTGTTTACCCAGATTTCTTCACCGCTGGCCAGAGCTAGAAGAAGGGTCTACAGGTCTGTCCTACCTGCAAGCACTGGTACTTCGGCCCTGTGACAGCAGAGGTTTTCAGCCCGGCCTCCCCTCATAGGTATTTTTTTAGGATGCCAAGACCAATATGACCCTCATCCATCTTCCCCAGGAGGTTTTATTTTCCAG